AATGTGCTACATATATTTATATTTATTTACTGGATTAATTTACAAGTTTTTGTTTTTTATTGACAGGCTTTTTTTAAAATCTATTCTCTATATTGTATATTTTACTTCAAATATTACTGTAAGATGATAAGTATTTTGAAAAAAAGCACATTTTACTACAGCAAAATCTTAAGCTTTTACAATATGAAAGATCTTTCAATTTCGCTTTTAATGATCATTATCTTAAAGGGATGAACTAGCTTTTATCTTACTGTTAAATATGAATTTAAATAATTAGGTGATACTTTTTAACCAAATGCACTCAAATATTTTTAAAAATACTAATTTCAATAAAAGATATTGAAATAAGAAATCTTTTAACTTTAAATTTAGATTTAGTATTTAATCACTTGAAATTCCATGGTAATTATTAGTCCTACTGCTAATTAAAATACTTAAAGTGATGCTTGTTACTATTTTTACTTCTACTTTTTCAGTGAAATGTCTGTCAGCCAAATGTCTGTTCAGCCAAAGGTCTCTTGGCCAAATGTCCATTCGGCCAAATGTCCATTCAGACAAATGTCTCTTGGCCAAATGTCCGTTCAGCAAAGTGTCTGTTTGGCCAAATGTCTCTCAGTCAAATGTCCATTCAGCCAAATGTCTCTTGGCCAAATGTCTCTTGGCCAAATGTCCATTCGGCCAAATGTCTCTCAGCCAAATGTCCATTCAGACAAATGTCTCTGGGCCAAATGTCCGTTCAGCAAAGTGTCTGTTTGGCCAAATGTCTCTCAGCCAAATATCTGTTCATCTAAATGTCTCTTGGCCAAATGTCCATTCAGCCAAATGTCTCTCAGCCAAATGTCCATTCAGTCAAATGTCCATTTGGCCAAATGTCTCTCAGCCAAATGTCTGTTCAGCCAAATGTCTCTTGGCCAAATGTACATTCGATCAAATGTCCATTCAGTCAAATGTCCATTTGGCCAAATATCTCTCAGCGAAATGTCTCTCAGCCAAATATCTGTTTCAAATTTGAACCTTTTAAAACCCTTTATTCTACATTCAACACCATCACTTGATAAGACACCAGAAGTGTTGAAACAAAATGGCTATTTTTTTAGTGATTTTATGCTTATGCCCACATCATGTTGAAGCACTGGTTCCTGTATGATTACCAAAGTTAAGCAATGTTGAGACTAGGTGGGTGACAACTTGGGAATACCATGTGCTGTAAGCTTGGATGTGCTGGTGATATAATAGATAATGGCTCAGAATTGTTAATCAGAGAGCAGAGTTCCAATTACAGTTAAGTTCATTATATTCACCTTTACACAAATACCCTTGGGAAAGGTATGAATCCACCTCTTCTCCCCTCAACTATGGGTTAAGTAGCCTTGTATCACTAAATCATTCATATATCAAAAGAATTCTTACAATCTAAAAATATTTTCTGGTTTTAAATAACCAGCAAAAGGTTAATAAAAAGTAGAAAATGAATCAATAAATAAAAAGAAAATATATTTTTTATTACTATAAAATTTTTTTTGTAGGTTCTAAAATTACTGTTGTCTATGTTTCAGGTACAAAACTGAAGCTAGCAAATATAGATTTGCAGAAGCCTCAACAAGGGAAAACAATCTTTTGTTAATAGGTTTATTCAAACCTTGCTCTATCAGGCTGGCTCCATGGCTAAACTGGTAGAGGCTGGTTTTTATTAATTTCATTGTTTAATAGAATAAAAAGCAGCAATAGCAACTCAAATACATGTACCCACTAAAAATAATGTTTAAAATAATAAATAATGTTGGTTAAAACAATCCTTTCCTTTCTCCTCTTACCCTGAAAAAACTCAACACATTTTCCTTGCACACAGTTTTGTCTTATCTGACCTGAAGAAGCTGAGACTGACAAATGTTTGGTGAAAATCATTTATAAGCTTTTCCATTTTGTTTCATCTCTCCTATTTTATATATAAAAATGTTTTGAAGGTAACTACTTTAGTGGTGTCCTGATATAATCAAATAATTTGTAAAATTACTCTACAAATGTTAGTAGTAACCTGTAACCCAGTACAACTTGCCATATGGTTGCACTTCTTCAATTGTCTAGATACCTTGGGACAAGTGTTGACAAAATAGATTTGGATATGTAAAATTTCAGATAATTAAATACCTAAATAATCAAAAACTAATGAAGAAAAAAGTCCTTTTTCTGAAAAAAAAAATTAATTTATATCATCAAATCATATTTTTAAATGCTTTCTTGACGGTTTTGTTTAGTTTATTTTTTATGAAAAAATATGTCAGTTTTTGTCTATTTCCAGATGGCCTCATGTATTTCTAATACTAAGTATGAAATCTGGATTAAAGTAGATATATTTATAAGGATAGCTTCTGGTTGAAAGCACAACTGACTTAAATATTTGTCAATTTTTATCATATGTTGAATATAGTTCTCTAAATTCTCAAAATATTGGTCTGAGATAAAATATTAGAATGGATTTAGTTTTAATGCTTTTTTTTTTAATCATTTCATCCTAAGCAAGGTAATAAAGCCACTGAGACACAGGGGCTATTGAGTGTGAAAAACATTAAGGAGCAAGAACAACAAAAGAACAGAATAATTGAAAAATGTTTGAATAATTATTTTTTTCTCTTCCTTTGATGAGATGTGCCGATGGATATTGGCTTTGAATGAGAAATAGGTGAGCTGAGTTCAAATTATTTTCAGGTTTGCTACATTTGCTTACATGCAAATAGCAATGGCAAAGATATGAATCAATCTCCTCCCCCAGATATGGGTTAAATAGTAGGACTTGTATCTGGAAAAATCATTGTTATTCTCAAAATATTAATACAATATTTACTCACAAAAAAAGAAATATTCTTACAATCCAAAATATTTTTCAGCTTTAAATTACTCACAAAGGATTGATAAATCATCAATAATGAATCAATCTTCATTTAATGTCTGGATAACCAAAATCTGGAAAATTTAGGTATTGCTAAGGAAGTACTATATTTTATGTGTGTTTCTTTGTGAAAATGATTTTTTTTTTTTCAATAGCAATCTCTAATTTTACTTTGAAAGCAATGACAGGCACACCCACCTGAGAAATTAACTAACAACATCAGATATTTGAATGGATTTTATATGTATTTTTTTTACATCTTCTTTTAAGTGAAATTAATTAGATTCCCTTTCTACCTTGTTCTATAAGGTTTTGTTCACATAGTTTCTTGTCATGTAAACATGGTGTGTCAATAGGTCACTCCATCTTTATTTTTCTCTTCTCCCTTTATTTCTCTCTCTAATTTCTCTTACATATCAAACATTTTTCTCCTGCTCCTCTTCCTTTGCCTCCTCATTTTATTCCTCCTCTTCATCCATTTTCTTAATCAAATATCTACTTCTTCTCCTTCATTATCTCTATCCATTTTTTTGTTTAGTCGACTCGGCTATATTTTTTAAATACTGATTTTATTTTTTAAAATCTTTCTTCTATAAGTTTTTTTTTTGTTTTCAGAAATCAGAGAATATAGTTTTTATGATGGAAGTGGGGAGTATTGAGAAAGGTGAATCACTTTTGCGTTGATCTCATTAGAGAGAAAATTACCTGTTGAAATGCAAATGTTTAGTACTTAATGTCAGAAAGTTATCAAGTAACTCAAATGTTTCCTTATAAAAGGTTGTTCTTTGATATTTATTAATATTCACCCAGTACAAGACACAACAGCTACTCAAGGTATCATGTTACTGTGTTGTATAGATGGCCACTCATATTCAAGGATACCCATCTACAAGAGCAGCTAGCCAATCCCCATTGCAGACACTTGCTCAGGAACATTTGTGTTTATTCAACATCCACAGAGCCCAGCTGTGGTTTATACTGCAACTATGCTGAGCAGACCTTAGTTACAGTTTCTGGGAAAGAGCTTGTTATCTAGCATGATCAACAATTTGAACAAGGCCAGCACACTCAAGCCTTCAGTCATGATGACTTATGATTTAGTGCTAGCACGGCTATTGACGACCCCCAACCAAGGATTCCATCTACCCAATTTCATTCACAAGAGATGGGTCAAACTATGGCAAGGTTTTCAGGCACTTTCCAAAGATGCAGCACACTGGGATCATCCCCCTCCAGTCCAATAACATTAGGGAGTCTCCCTCCTGACAAATCAACCATGGTGAGATTTGAACCCTGGTCTCATGGTCAGAATGGAAACATTCTAACCACTTGGCTATGTGCCCATACTCTGTGGTATATGATCATAAGAAAAGGCAAGAAATGAAGTTCATGAGGTTTTTGCAGGAATGATAACAGTTAACCCTAGACTTGAAGAGGTCAAGATAGTAATGATTGGGAAAACATCCTGCCAGCAGTTTGTTTCAAAAAGCGGCAGTTCTTGGGAAGAAGCTGTCAGAGACGAACTTACTCCTTACTAATGCAATACAAACTGAATGAGGATCATTCACACTTGTTTATGTGGCATGGCAGATCTCAGTTGTAAAGGCCAGGACTGATGGGTCTAAGTAACTCGTCAGAACACATGCTATGGAAGTAGGGATAGATATTTTCCCAACGCTGCTCTATCAAGAAACTATCAGCAATTTTTACTTATTTGAAAAGTATAAAACAGAGTTAAGGATATCTGATCAACAATCAAACAATTAGTGTTTGTAGTATCATAAAGTTACCCTGTTGGTCATACAATTCTAATATTTACAGGAAAACTTCTTAAGTTTAAATAAAAGATCTCTTCTGCTTTGTTTACTTGATCTCCTATTTATTTGTGACATGAGTTATATGACCAACTCATTTGTGACTTTACTTTCTTCTATCTCATTTGAAACACAATAAAAATGTCTGCCTTTCAAATGCAATTTTTCTTTGCATTTTTTTCTCATATTATAAGAATGATAACAAGTGTAAAAATCAATATGGTGGCTATTCAATTGAACATTGCTGAAATTTGGCCATCATGATGGAGAATGTAAATTGATAATGAAAAATACAGAAAATGCTAATTTGTTCTCCTTCTCAGTTCTGCAATGTTTTATCTAAACTTGGTCTTTCTCTTTTTTCATTCTTCCTGTTCTCTTTCTTTCTTTTTTTCTTTTTACTTTCTTTCTTTCTTTCTTTCTGTTTACTTTCTTTCTTTCTGTTTACTTTCTTTCTTTCTTTCTTTCTTTCTTTCTTTCCTTCTTTCTTTCTTTCTTTTTACTTTCTTTCTTTCTTTCTCTTTAATTTCTTTCTTTCTCTTTACTTTCTTTCTTTCTTTCTTTCCTTCTTTCTTTCTTTCTTTTTACTTTCTTTTTTTCTTTCTTTCTCTTTAATTTCTTTCTGTTTATTTCTATCTTTTGTTTTTTCTTTCTGTTTACTTTCTTTCTTTCTTTCTTTCATTGTTTACTTTCTTTCTTTTGTTCTGTTTACTTTTTTCTTTCTTTCTTTTTTTCTTTCTTTCTTTTTTTCTTTCTTTCCGTTTACTTTCTTTCTTTATCTGCAGTTCTGTTTTAACAGTAGTAAACATCCTGGTCAGAACATTTTCCATGGTTTCATACTTCATCTGTGAGCATGCTGTTAAGGCCAACCATTTTTGTTGAAGACCAAGAATTGTACTGTATAATATCTTCAAAATCAATAATGTATCAATTTTTAAATTAGTACATTTCTTATCGAGCTGTTCAAACTCTTTGTAGTCAAACATTGACATTGATTCAGTCTTTTTAAAATTTTAAACATGTCTTACATTTTTTAAAATAATTTATTCAACACTGTTAAAACATTTTTAACACCATCAGCAACCATTAAGAGATTTATCTATAGCAATGGCAATTTCTTGAGATTTTAATTCTATGCCTTGTCTTGTACATAGCAAATATTTACCATAATTCAACTTCCAATTCCCATTTTATGAATAGTCTCCATTGTTCGGACTGTTGTCCTCATCTTTATTTGCCATATTTACTCTGACTTTCCTCAGGTGATATGTATTGGAATTTCAAACCATGGGAGTAGATTGTTCTAATTCCACATGCCATGCCTTTGAATATTTCTGTGTCAGATATTTTAGTAATTAAACTCTGCTGCGGTCAAGTATTGAACTCACCACAAATCACCTTTTGAATACCTTAACCAACGCTTTTATACACTGAGACATATGTGCTTGGCGAGTGAGTGAATTTTTGGGACTTATAAATCTAATGTCTCAGTAACCATTTCTTTTACCAGAGCTCATATGCTCTAAAGAGGGCCAGAGCATACAATGGCTGCAACACGAATATGGCAATAAAGATGAGGACAACACTCTGAACAATGTTAATAATGTAAATACTTGCAATACTTCATCTCAAAAATATAAACAGAAATAAAGAAAATATTGCTTGATTATGGCAATAAAGATGAAGACAACAGTCCGAACAATGTTAATAATGTAAATAGTTGCAATACTTCATCTCAGAAATATAAACAGAAATAAAGAAAATATTGCTTGATTATGGCAATAAAGATGAAGACAACAGTCCGAACAATGTTAATAATGTAAATAGTTGCAATACTTCATCTCAGAAATATAGACAGATGTTGAATAGTCTTTGTTACTGAATGTGGGTGTATGTTTATAAATAGTAATTTTTTATCACTCTGCTACCATTAGTCCACATAATGTCCAGGCACCACAAATTAAGGTGATATAAGTTCTCCATGCATCAGAAGTTCAAGTGACAAAGAGAAATTTTAACCAGATTATATTTGGCTCATTTGGCAAATGCAAGTTGAAAGAAAGGGAGACAAGCCTGCTACTGCTGTTGCTTCTTGGAGTCATCTATTAATTTTGGGGAGTCCATTTTATGAGTTCATCTCTACACTTCCTACCTATGGGTTAAATAAGCAAGGTAGTTTGGGTTCTTTAGAGTTAGGTGGTAACCATTTTAGGTGGCAACCATTTCTTTAAGAAATAGAAAATTCTGAATTCAAAGACCTTGAGTGGACAGCAGGAAACCTCTCCACCATCTTTCCCAAGAGATAATGGCAATATAATGTCCAAGCACCACAAATTAAGGTGATATAAGTTCTCCATGCATCAGAAGTTCAAGGGGGCAAAGAGAAATTTTAACCAGATTATATTTGGCTCATTTGGCAAATGCAAGTTGAAAGAAAGGGAGACAAGCCTGCTACTGCTGCTGCTTGGAGTCATCCATTAATTTAGGGGATGGGGAAATAACTGAATTAGTTAACACTCATGACATGAGTAAATTCAGAAATGAGCATCTTATATGCCATTGAACATAATATTTCTTCCTGTATGATTTATTTTTTTCTTAATTTATCTTTCATGTCATCATTTTTCTTTCCTTTGTTCTTTACTTCTTTGCGTTTTCTTCTTTTTTTCTTCTGTTTTTTTTTGTAGGTGGATGCAAATGTTTTCAGTGCTCTTTTCTTTTTTAAAAATGTTTTCACCTATTTGATTCAGCTGCTAGTTTAAAAAAAACGAGAGTGCTAGGAACTTTTGCATAATCCTAATAAATTACCTTTCTTTCTTTTTATTCTTTCTTTCTTTATTTTTTTTTTATTCACTTCTTTCCCTTTAGTTTTCTTTACTGTTTTTCTTTTATATTACTTTCTTTCTTTTCTTCTTTTATTTTCTTCCAATCCTTCTCCATTTTTTCTTCTTTCTTCTTGCCTTCTTCTCATCACACGTTCTCTATCCTACCTTTCTTTTTAATCTTTGCTTTATTCTTTTCCAATCCAAAGAAAACTCTCCTTCCCAGGTCTGTACCAAGAGCCACTACTCTTGTGTCACCTTTCAACACAGCACCATTTTCCCCACCATAATCTTGTGACAGAATTTTGTTTTTGTCTCATCTGAGGACCTGTCAGTTTGTAACCATTGCAAGTTTAAGTTTTCATCTTTTCCAAGCTTGGCTACTTTTGTCCACCACCAACCAGGGGAGGGTTCCTATTTCCTTAAGCAGTGCAGATGACACCCAATCACAGAGTTTGAAACTTAAAACTTGGACAACTGCATGTTTACTGATGAATTTCCACTGGTTTGATATTTCTGGGTCCTTTGCAGGAAAAAAAAATTCTTTTCCTAGAAATCTGATCCAGACATTTCTTCAGAATTCTCCGTTTACATTCAATTGGAGATTATGCAAGGAAAATATAATAATGCAAGCTAAACCAAATTCAAATGCATTTCCATCACCTTTGGAGTATTCAGGTTTCTCTCCTGCCATTTGGATTGTGTTTCTTTCTATGTTACCCTCGTTGCCTGTGCTGTACATCCTGATCAAATTTGATTTTGATTAGATTTTTCTTTTTCTGTTTTCATGGCAATGGTTTGTGGGGGAGAATCAGGTATGTCACAGGGTTGGGAAGAGCAATGTTTATGTTTCTTTTCATTTGGAAGAATACATTTCTGCCTCTGTTACTCAGTTATCTACTTGTCTTTATTTCAATGAATAAAGTGCTTTCATTTTTTTTTTTTTTTTGCCTTCATCTTCCACCCCCACCTCACCCCCCCACTGCCAACTTCCATTTTCTTTTTTAGCTTTCCAATTTTTCTTCAATTTTTCCACTTTCTTTGAGTTATTCATCTATTTTTCTATTTCTCTTGTATTCTGATTTGAGCTTTCATTTATTTCTTTTATTCTTTTTCTTTATTCTCTTCTTGTTTCCTTCTATTTCCACTTCCTTCTTCTTGTTTGCTTATCTCTTTTCTTTTTTTCTTTTTCTTTCCTTGCTTATCTTTCTTTTTTTTTTTTTTTCTGTCTTTCTTTCTCTTTCCATCCACCTTTCTATCATTCTTTTCTTTCTTTTTCCTTCCTCCTTTCTATCTTTCTTTCTCTTTCTTTCCTCCATTCTATCTTTCTTTCTCTTTCCATCCACCTTTCTATCTTTCTTTCTTTTTCCTTCCTCGTTTCTGTCTTTCTTTTTCTTTCCTTCCTCCATTCTATCTTTTCTTTCTTTTTTCCTCCATCCTATCTTTCTTTCTTTTCCTTCCTTTTTCTGTCTTCCTTTCTTTTCCATCCACCTGTTATCTTTTTTCTTTTTTTCCTCCTTTCTCTTTCTTTCTTTTCTTTCCTTTTTTCTTTTCCTTTCCATCCATTCTATCTTTCTTTCTTTTTCTTCCCTTTCCTTTCCTTTCCTTCCTCCTTTCTCTTTCTTTTCTTCCATCCACCTGTCTATCTTTCTTTCTTTTTCCTTCCTCGTTTCTGTCTTTTCTTTTCCTTCCTTCCTTTTCTATCTTTCTTTTTTTCCTTCCTTTCCTCCTTTTCTATCCTTCCTCCTTTCTTCTTTCTTTTTTTCCATCCACCTGTCTATCTTTCTTTTTTTTTCCTTTTTATATTTCTTTCTTTTTTCCCTTCCTCCTTTCTATTTTTTTTTTCCATCCATCTTTCTCTTTCTTTCTTTTTTCTCCTCCTTTCTATCTTTCTTTCTTTTTTTTTCCTCCTTTCTATCTTTCTTTCTTTTCCCTTTTTTCCTTTTCTTTCTCTCGTTTCCTCCTTTCTTCTTTTTTCTTTTCCATCCCTTTCCTTTCTTTCTTTCATTTCTTTTTCTTTTTTCTTTCCTTCCTCCATTCTATCTTTCTTTCTTTTTCCTTCCTCCATTTCTATCTTTCTTTCTCTTTCCTTCCTCCTTTCTGTCTTTCTTTCTCTTTCCATCCACCTGTCTATCTTTCTTTCTTTTTTCCTTCCTTTTCTATCTTTCCTTTCTTTCTTTTTCTATCTTTCTTTTCTCTTTCCATCCTGTCCTCTTTTCTTTCTTTTTCCTTCCTTTTCTTTTTCTTTTTCTTCCTTCTTTTTCTATCTTTCTTTCCTTCCTCCATTCTATCTTTCTTTCTCTTTCTTTCCTTTCTGTCTTTTCTTTCTTTTCCATCCACCTGTCTATCTTTCTTTCTTTTTCCTTCCTCCTTTCTATCTTTCTTTCTCTTTCTTTCCTCCTTTCTATCTTTCTTTCTCTTTCCATCCACCTGTCTATCTTTCTTTCTTTTTCCTTCCTCGTTTCTGTCTTTCTTTTTCTTTCCTTCCTCCTTTCTATCTTTCTTTCTCTTTCCATCCACCTGTCTATCTTTCTTTCTTTTTCCTTCCTCGTTTCTGTCTTTCTTTTTCTTTCCTTCCTCCATTCTATCTTTCTTTTTTTTTCCTTCCTCCATTCTATCTTTCTTTCTCTTTCCTTCCTCCTTTCTGTCTTTCTTTCTCTTTCCATCCACCTGTCTATCTTTCTTTCTTTTTCCTTCCTCCTTTCTATATTTCTTTCTCTTTCCTTCCTCCTTTCTATATTTCTTTCTCTTTCCATCCATCTTTCTATCTTTCTTTCTTTTTCCTTCCTCCTTTCTATCTTTCTTTCTTTTTACTTCCTCCTTTCTATCTTTCTTTCTTTTCCCTTCCTCCTTTCTATCTTTCTTTCTCTTTCTTTCCTCCTTTCTATCTTTCTTTCTCTTTCCATCCACCTTTCTATCTTTCTTTCTTTTTCCTTCCTCATTTCTGTCTTTCTTTTTCTTTCCTTCCTCCATTCTATCTTTCTTTCTTTTTCCTTCCTCCATTCTATCTTTCTTTCTCTTTCCTTCCTCCTTTCTTTTTCTTTTTTTTCCATCCACCTGTCTATCTTTCTTTCTTTTTTCCTTCCTCCTTTCTATCTTTCTTTCTTTTTTTCCTCCTTTTCTATCTTTTTTCCTTCTTTTCCATCCACCTGTCTATCTTTCTTTTCTTTTTTCCTTCCTTTTCTTTCTTTCTTTTTTTTCCCTTCCTCCTTTTCTATCTTTCTTTCTTTTTCTTCCTCCATTCTATCTTTCTTTCTCTTTCCTTCCTCCTTTCTGTCTTTCTTTCTCTTTCCATCCACCTGTCTATCTTTCTTTCTTTTTCCTTCCTCCTTTCTATATTTCTTTTTCTTTCCTTCCTCCTTTCTATATTTCTTTTTCTTTCCTTCCTCCTTTCTATCTTTCTTTCTTTTTACTTCCTCCTTTCTATCTTTCTTTCTCTTTCCTTCCTCCTTTCTATCTTTCTTTCTCTTTCCATCCATCTTTCTATCTTTCTTTCTTTTTCCTTCCTCCTTTCTATCTTTCTTTCTCTTTCCTTCCTCCTTCCTATCATTATTTCTCTTTCCTTCCTCCTTTCTTTCTCTTTCCATTCACCTTTCTGTCTTTCTCTTTCCTTCTTCCTTTCTATCTCTCTTTCTCTTTCCTTCCTCCTTTCTGTCTTTCTTTCTCTTTCCTTCCTCCTTTCTATCTTTCTTTCTCTTACTTTCCTCCTTTCTGTCTTTCTTTCTCTTTACTTCCTCTTTTCTATCTTTCTTTCTCTTTCTTTCTTTCTGTCTTTCTTTCTCTTTCCTTCCTCCTTCCTATCATTATTTCTCATTCTTTCCTCCTTTCTGTCTTTCTTACTCTTTCCATCTTCTTTTCTATCATTCTTTCCTTTTTAACAACTTTGCCTTATTTTCTTTCTCTTTATTTTTTTGCTAACAACATTTCTCTCTTTCTCTCTAAACAATTTTACCTCTTTTTCTTTTTATTAACCAAAATTTTTCCTCTCTTTCTGCTTTCGTTTTTCTTTCTTTGTTTCTTTCTTAAACCTTTGCTGCTTTTTCCATGTCTTTTTTCCTCTCATTCTTTCTTTCTTTATTACTTTCTCTTTTTCTAACTATTTATTTTGTTACTATTTCCTTCCTTTTCTTTCTCAGTTTCTTTACCTTTTTCTTCTCCCTCAGTTTATTTCCTTCTTATTCATTTATCTCTTTTTTCCTCTTACACATTTTCCTTCTTTCTCCTCCCTCTTTTCTTCTTAATTCCTTTTACACTTTCTTCTTCTTTTGCATTAATTTTTATATTTATTAATTATTTCTACCATTCTTTAATTGTCTTCATTATCCAATTCGTTTTCAATTTTTTTTTCATCTTAATTTTTCTCTTCTGTCACTGATTTTTTTCTTTCTTTCTTTCTTTCTTTCTTTCTTTCTTTCTTTCTCATTTCTTCCTATTTTCCTTCTCAAAAACTTTACCATTGCTTTCTTTTTATTAACTCTTCTTTTTCTTATCTTTTGCTTTCTTTTCCTTTCTTTTTTGATAACTTTTTTTTTTTTTTCTGAACAGCTTTTCTTTCTTTCTTTCTTTCTTTCTTTCTTTCTTTCTTAACAATGTTGACTTATTTTCTTTGTCTTTCCCTTTTCTCAACAACCTTGCTTTTGTTCTTCCAGGTTTTTCTCCTCCATTCTTATCTCATTTCTCTCTTTCTCTTGTTTAATTCTTCTTTTCCTTTCCTTTTCTTGTTTTTTTTTTCTTTTCATTCACACCTGTTTCCATTATTTCTCTTTCATTATCCTTTACTTATTTCATAATTCCCACCATCGTTCCTTCCTTCAATTCCTTTATTTTTCATTCAGCAATTATCTCTACTTCTTCATCTTCTTTCATATTTCCTCCTCTCTTTGTGTCGGAAGAAATATACAACATGTCACAAGACACATGTACAGTGTGTGGCAATAAACATGTTAAACATTAGTAATTACCATCATTGAGGTTGTCATGATTTGCAAGTAGTAATGAGTTGTTATTCAAAGGAAGCATTTAAAAGAAGCCCATTTAACATCATTAAATATATATAAAGGTAATCATCGTTTAATAAGAGAGAAGGTAATGAGACATTGGGGGAGTAGAAAGTCAGACCAAGACAGGGAGATATTTAGAATTTATTTAGTTTGTCTATTAACCAGGATATTTCTGTGAATCTAGTCAGTATTCAGGGGACTGGATTACAAGGCATTCTGACCCCATCAAAAATTTACAAAAAACTTGCTACTGAGTATATTTTCATTATACCTCTTCCTATTGCTCATTTTCTTTTATTATACTTCCCCCTATTGCTCAGTTTTTAACTGTTTTTCTCTGTATCGCTTGTTTTTTAACAATACCTCCATTTCTTCTTAAGTTTTAGACTATACCTCCATCACATGCTCAGTTTCAGACCATACCTACCCTTATTACTCAGTTTTAAACTATACTCCCCTCATTTGCTCAGTTTTGGACCATACCTCCCTTTATTGCTCAGTTTTAGACTATACCTTTCTCACTTGCTCAGTTTTAGACCATACCTCCCCCTGTTGCTCGAGGTTTTATTATAACTTTCCTTATTGCTCAGTTTGGGACCATACTCACCTTTATTGCTCAGTTTTAGACTATACCTCTCTCACTTACTCTGTTTTAGACCATACCCCCGCCCTATTATTTGATGTTTTATTATAACTTTCCTTATTGCTTAGTTTTGGACCATACCTCTTCTTCTTCCTATCACTCAATTTTGCTGGTGTTATTCTCATTAAATTTTATATTTTGGACCCCTTAATGTATATTCTAGTTATTAATAATGCATATCATCCCTGGGATCTGTGGGTAATTAATGGTTATTTTTACAATAAGTGGGTGGAATTGGTGAGCTGAGTTCAAATTCCAGTTGCATTCACTCCTGTTGAAATGCCTTCAGGAAATGCATGAGTCCATCTCTTCACTCCCTACCTATGGGTTAAATAAGTAGGGTAGTTTGGGTTCTTTAGAATTAGGTGGCAACCGTTTTAGGAAATAGAAAATTCTGAATTCAAAGACGTAGAGTGGGAAGCAGGAAACCTCTCCACTATCTTTCCTAAGAAATAATGGCAATTCACAGATAATAAAGACAATATCTGAGGGAGAGCTACACTCTGAAGGGGAGATGGCATTTGAAATAGATCTCTTTAGACATTATGTACCTTTTCATATTTTCAGTAGCACTTTGGTAGAAAAATTTTATGGCTCACATAGAAGTCCATTGTTGTTGTTTACTGAAAGAAATTTTCACTTTCCAAAAGAAATATTTCTGAATAAGGGCCAAACATAGGATGTATATGTTTTAGGGGAGGATCCCTTGTAGTTAAGACTGGTTACCACCCAAGGCTATAAAACCCAGTCTGACCTGCTATTTACCCATAGGTGGGGGTTGAGAAGAGATGGATTCATACCTTTCCTAAGGGTATTAGCAAGTAAGTGAATGTAATGAAACTGAACTGGAATTTGAACTCAGCTGTCCAATTCTCAATCAAGCCACAATCCATTACTTCACCATGCCTCCATATATATATATATATATATATATATATATATATATATATATAATGGACACTGAGGTCAACACCCATTCTGTCTCATGCTTAAATGCAATCTTCAGACCATGTGTCATGAATTATTATTTATTGACTCATAAATACAGTATAACTTAAAACTATATTTTTATCATATATATATATATATATATATATATATATATATATATATATATGGTGGACTCTGCCTATTGTGAATGATAGATGAGGGTCAGCATTTGATGGTGCCTTTCATTTTACACTTATGCATGCTAGCATGGGCTATTCTGGAGAAAATCAGGTAAGGGAAAGATATATTTCATTTGTGCTTTCTTAAGTGTGATACTAGACCAGCTTTGCTATAGGCAACAAAGCCACATTGACAGATGAAATTTGTTAAAGCAGGATTTTGATGGCATTTCTGCTTCAGAGCTTGACGAATCTGATCATGGTGCTTCAGTCTACTGTCTTCAAAAACTTTTAACTTAATGAAACATGTCTTATGCCACTCCTTTTGGTTTGATGCTTGGGCTTCCCAGGTTTCCAGTTCAAAGTTGAGACATTTCAAGTTGTCTTTCAATTTGTCTTTGTAGCGTAAGAGTGGACGTCCAATTGAACACTTGGAGTTTGGTAGTTTTTCATACAGCACCTTTTTGGGAAGCCTATGTTCATCCATTCTTACAACATGACCAGCCCACCTAAGTTGTATTTTTGCTAGTTTCAGTGCCTGTGATGTTGTTACTTTTCTACAGTATTGCACTATTCTTGACCCTGTCATCCCATTTTATATCACATATGGCATGAAGACAGCACATGTGAAAGGTGTCAAGTTGATTTATGTGTTGAGACGGGTTGAGAGAACGACTGATCTGTATATGTCAATCTTTACTTTGAGAGACACATCTTTGGTGTTCCATAACCTATGTTTAAGTTTCCGAAAATATATATATATATATATATATATATATATATATATATATATACACACACACACACACACACACACACACACACACACACACACACACACACACACACACACAGTGATTGGAATTTCAGATTGAACTCTTTATTTCATCCAACAGGGTAGACTGTTCTAGTTCTACGTGCCATGCCTCTTCCAGATGTCTCAGGACACATGGTCCAGTGGATAAAAGTTTTGGTTGAATCCAGTGTCTTCACTCAAAGAATTATGAGTTCAATACCTGGCTACAGAACAAAAACTTGGAGAGTAGAGCTAAAAGTAGATAACTGATACTGAGACATCCAGAAGAGGCATGGTATGTGGAACTAGAACAATCTACCCTGGTGGATGAAATAAAGGGTTCAGTTTGAAATTCCAATCACCTGAAGAAGGCGAAAACGTCATGAATATGGCAACAAAGATGTGAACAGCAGTTCAAACAAGATAAATAGTGTAAATAATTACCATACCTCATCTCAAAAATATAGACAGATATATACAAAGGTATGTTATATATATATATATATATATAAATATATATATATATATATATATATATATATATATATATATATATATATATATTTGTTATAACATATATATATATATATATATTTTATATATGTAATAAATATTTGTATGAAATTTACCTTGCTTGCCTATATATATTTATGCAAATGGTTCCAGAGCACAACAGGTTTTTCTATCTGTCTGTTTAGTTCCCTGTCTGTCAGTTCAAGTCTCTGTCTGTTAATTTCTTTCTTCCTTTCCTGTTTGTTTTCCTTCTTCCAGTCTGTCTGTTTTTAATTGTTAACAACATCTGACAGAAAGCAAGCTGTCAGATGATCAAGTAAATTCGAGTGAGGATTGCAAAATTAGACAAAAGACATATAAGTAGGTTGGTATTAGTTTTCCTAGGAAGCGGCACAAAAGATTTTGACAGATCTGGCAGTAAAGGAGGGAGTGAGACTTAGGGGTGAGGGAAAAGAGAAAATGAGACAAAAAAAATGAAGGGAAGATTTGAAGATAGAAGAAAGAAATGAAAAATACACAGGAAAAAGAAGAAAATGGAAGCAGGCTTGAAAAGAGGAAAGATTTGAAAGGGATCAAAAAAGGGGTTAGAAAGTATTGATAAAGAAAGCTAAGTAAAAGAAAAATTTGAGTGGAAGGCAGAAATAAAGGAAGGAAGGAAGGAAGGAAGGAAGGAAGGAAATAAATAAATAAGCTAAGAAGAAGAAAGAAAAAGGAAAATTTGAGTGGAAGGCAGAAATAAAGAGGGGAAGAAAGCAAGGAAGGAAGGAAGGAAGGAAGGAAGGAAGGAAGGAAGGAAAGAAGAAAATCAATAAATAAACAAGCAAACTAAGCAAAAATGAAAAGAATAGCGAGAAAAAAGAGGAAGTTATGAAAAAGTTAGGTAAAAGGAAAATAGAAAAACTGGGAGAAAGAAACGTCAGATTGACTGATTTTGTTTTTACAGTTTATCAACCCTTTGGGAGTTATTTAAAGCCAAAACTCATGTTTTGGATTGAAAGAATAATTCTTTTTGAAAGTGAATATTGGCCTTACTTTTTTTTTGCTGATAACAATGATTTTTCCAGATACATGTCCTATTACTTAACCCCATAGAATGGGAGAAGAAGAGGGATTCATATATATCCCAAAATTATTTGTGGGTAAGTGAATATAACAAACTCAACTAGAATTTGAACTCTGCTCCCCAATTTATCATTCTAAGCTGCAACCTATTGCACCACCTGCACATCCAAGAAAAAATTAAAAGGAAAATAGGTAGAAGAGGAACGATGGAAAAGAAGTAGAAAAGATAAGAGAAAGATAGAAAGGAAGTTATAAAACAACAAAAGGAAAGAAAGTAGAAAGGATAGTCAGTAGAAAGGAAGATTATTGCCAAAGAAATGATAAAGGATAGATGAAGAAATATAGAAAGGAAAGAAGGGAGGAAAGGAATGATGGAAAGAAGCTGAAGGACTTCTGGAAGGGAGTCGGTAATTACACCACTGAGCTGGAAAAGAATAAAGTAATATTAAAGAAAAAACCAAAGGAAATTTAATCAAAAAAAAATGATGCTAAAACTTTCTTGACAAATGCCTTCCTTGAGTCTCTGCTCATATGGATATGGGTGGCAAGATGAAAGAAAAGAGTAAGAAAGGAAGAACAAGACTTAAGAAGGAAAAATGTCTGTTATGAAAAGGAGGGAGGAAGGAAAAAAAAGAAAGGAAAGAAAGGAAAGAAAAGAAGGAAAGAAAGAAAGAAAAGAAGAAAGAAAAGAAAGAAAGAAAAGAAGGAAAGAAAGAAAAGAAAAGAAGAAAAGAAGGAAAGAAAGAAAAAGAAAGAAAGAAAGAAAGAAAGAAAAAAAGGAAAGAAAAGAAAGGAAAGAAAGAAAGAAAAGAAAGATAAGTGGATTATAAGACTTAACAGGGAAAATTTAGAAAGAAATGTTGTCATCTACCCACCATCCTGACCCTGTCCTGAATTCCCACCCAGACACCTGGAGTCTAAACTTCAGTCTGACTGGCATTGTAAGTGTTTTAGTAAGTGATGTGAAAATAAATAGAGACCTTGTCAAACGGTGGCTTATCACAATCTGCCAATGGAAACAAGACTGCCTTTGTTGAAACACAATGCAAAAGGCATCTAATTTTAGTTAATCCTGTAATGGTCTTTCATTGGTTGGCTTTTGTTCAAAAAATTTACATATGTGATTCCATACATATTTAGTGTGTGTGTGTGTGTGTGTGTGCAAGAATGAGTGCTTAAAAGGAAGAAAGAAATAAAAAAATGACAACATAAGTAAGAAATGCAAAAAGTAACTCCACATGTAGAAAACTCATGTACCCATGCACACACCATCAGCCAAAAGTTTGGGTTCACCCTCTGGATTAAATGATTAGTTGGTTTCATGCCTTCTTTAGTTGAATTAACGCCTACTAAGCTAGGATGTTGAAACTGAAGTATATGAGGGATAATGATGAGGAAACACATGTGTTATATTTAACAAAACAAGATTTATTTACAAGTTTATACATTTGAAGTTGTCAGTAGCTTTTTTCAGGAAAAGGAATCAAATATTTAAATTTTGTAGTTTTGATGAATTGTCAAGAAGAGAAAATGTTCATATTAAATCATTGGACACAAAGTAATATTCCAAAATGTTTAAAACAATTGAGAGAGTTAGTTTTTCACATAAAAGTTATAGAATTGTGTTTTCAACATAAATGAAAAGATATATTTTAAGGTACTTAGCTTTGGAACTGAATAAAGTTCAGATGTGTGGAACTCTGCCTCGCTGACTTAATTCAATTATTTCTGCCTATTTATATCAAAAAGTGATTTGACTTTAACTTGTTACTTTTTTCTCAGTTTTCTCCCTTTTCCATTGGTCAAAATAAAACTTCACATAGGCTCATTAAACTTTGCCTTGGTCTTTTCTTCAGCCTGGAGCAAATCCCTTTTTCTATTGATCAAAATAAATTTTTGCACTGAGACACAGTGGCATAATGGATAATGGCTCAGATTGAGGAATTGGAGAGCCAAGTTAGAATTCCAGACGAATCCATTACATTCTCATGCATGATAACACCCTTGGGAAAGGTGTGAATCCTCTTCTTCTCCCCCCCAGCTATGGGTAAATAGCAGGACAGACTGGGTTCTATAGTCTTGGATGGCAACTGGTCTAATGCAAAAAGAAATGGCAACCTACTGCAGGAAAAATCAGCCTCATCAGTCATGTATCGAAAGAAACATGGTCGCCTTAGTGTGTATCACACATGGCACATAACTGACTGACCAGTTTGCGAATTTGAAAACAGTGAAGAAAAGAGAGATATTTTTATTTCATATTCACCACAAAACTATTTAACCCATTAGTAGATGGCATCCAATCTTTTAAGGAAAGGTTTAGATCAAATTTGAAATCCACTAGACCTAAGATTACTGCAAACTGGCAAGTTAGATTGGGTAAAAAAGAAATAAAACTTTGAGGAAATTTTATGCAGTAATGCTTTAATTTTGTTATTATTATTGAATATAAGATAAACTCTTCAGGAGTCAAATCTGTATTCACTTTTTAATCAGGGAAGCCACTTTGAATTCAAACATGCTTTACCATTAGACTACAAGAAGCCATAACAGCAAAGCTTAATTACCAAACTTAAGAAAAGCACACCTCTTGTTGAGACCTTTCAAAGTCTATATCTAATAACTTTATAATAAAGACATAGGTGTTTTTCTGCAGATCTACATTTTCATAGGACTATTTATAATAAGGTTAACGGATATAGACTTCAAAAGGTCCCAACAGGAGTTGTGCATTTCTTTAATAGGGTAAATGAGCTTGATTTCTAAATTATGGTAAAATGTAAATACAAGTTCACCATCAACAGTTTGGCAATCCAGTTCAATTAGTAATGATGAAGTAATTTCTGCAAGAGCAATTTCAGATTTCCCAGGTCATTGCCACTGCTGTTTGGTGCTAACTCCAGCATCAGGTGTTAGTGAGCATTTTCAAACATTTTCATGCATTTTTATTTTAACCTACTGATGTCTATCACCAGTCATGGCTCCAGTACATACAGGAAGTGCTTCTTGAAGTGTGAAGTGCAAACACCATATGGTGTCCATAACAAATAAGGTAGAACTTCTGAGCAAAACTCACTTGATTTGAACAGCACTCACTTTTCTACAATTTATGGCCTAAAGAAAGAGGATAAAGTCAAACTGAGAGAAAAAAAATATGACCAACACTAATCCAGAAAAATCATTAATTCCTCACCCGTATACATCACAATGATACCAGATTAATGATGTCAGTCTGTATTATAAAAATAGAGAGCTAAAGAGGAAACCTAAAAAAAATCTAAGAAAATAAAAAATATAAATTCTTGCTTTCCAGCCAATTTTGATCTTCAAAAATTTAAATATAATGTCAATCATTATCTTCTATTCTTGAAACCTCTTCTTTTATTGTTCATGCTCCTTAATAATGTTTTTCTTTTTCTTATTCTTTCACATGACTCTGTAACCTCTTGTGGCTTTACTCTCTTGCAAAGGATGAAATGATTAACAAAAGAAAAGAACAATTTAGCAAAATAATTGAAAAATTTCATTCATTCACAGATGATAAAATTAATCAATCATTCTTTCTTTCAAATTAGCTTTTCTATTTGTCATGTTATACATTCTTTCAAAATAGTCTTTCTAATAAATTATTTAATTCTTTCAAATAGATATTTCTTTGAAATTGTTTATTCAATTCTTTCAAATTATTTAATTCTCAAAATTCATTCAATCATTCAAATTGTTCACTCTATTTGAAATTGTTCACTCATTATATCCTTCAAATTATTCACTCCTTTCCTTCAAATTATTCACCCCTTCTTTCCTTCAAATTGTTCACTCTTTCTTTCCTTCAAATTGTTCACTCATTCTTTCCTTTCCTTATTCAAATTGTTTCCATCATTCTTTCCTTCAAATTATTCACCCGTTCTTTCCTTCAAATTGTTCACTCTTTCTTTCCTTCAAATTATTCACTCGTTCTTTCCTTCAAATTGTTCACTCATTCTTTCCTTCAAATTATTCACTCGTTCTTTCCTTCAGATTATTCACTCCTTCTTTCCTTCAAATTATTCACCCCTTCTTTCCTTCAAATTGTTCACTCATTCTTTCCTTCAAATTGTTCACTCGTTCTTTCCTTCAAATTGTTCACTCATTCTTTCCTTCAGATTATTCACTCGTTCTTTCCTTCAAATTGTTCACTCGTTCTTTCCTTCAAATTGTTCACTCGTTCTTTCCTTCAAATTATTCCTTCTTATTCCACTCTTTTTCCTTCAAATTGTTCACTCGTTCTTTCCTTCAAATTGTTCCTCCTTCTTTCCCTTCAAATTCACCCTTCTTCCTTTCCTTCAAATTGTTCATTCTTTCCTTCAAATTGTTCACTCTTTTCCTTCAGATTATTCACTCATTCTTTCCTTCAAATTGTTCACTCATTCTTTCCTTCAAATTGTTCACTCGTTCTTTCCTTCCTGTTCAGATCTTTTTCAAATTGTTCCTTCTTTTTCCTTCAAATTATTCACCCTTCTTTCCTTCAAATTGTTCACTCGTTCTTTCCTTCAAATTGTTCACTCATTCTTTCCTTCAGATTATTCACTCGTTCTTTCCTTCAAATTGTTCACTCGTTCTTTCCTTCAAATTGTTCACTCGTTCTTTCCTTCAAATTATTCACTCGTTCTTTCCTTCAAATTGTTCACTCGTTCTTTCCTTCAAATTGTTCACCTTTCTTTCCTTCAAATTCACTTTCTTTCGTTATTCTTTCTTTCAAATTATTCACTCATTCTTTCCTTCAAATTATTCACTCGTTCTTTCCTTCAAATTATTCACTCCTTTCCTTCAAATTATTCACTCTTTCTTTCCTTCAAATTATTCACCCCTTCTTTCCTTCAAATTGTTCACTCTTTCTTTCCTTCAAATTATTCACCCCTTCTTTCCATCAAATTGTTCACTCTTTCTTTCCTTCAAATTGTTCACTCGTTCTTTCCTTCAAATTGTTCACTTCGTTCTTTCCTTCAAATTATTCACTTCGTTCTTTCCTTCAAATTGTTCTTTCCCTTCAGATTATTCACTCCTTCTTTCCTTCAAATTATTCACTCTTTCTTTCCTTCAAATTATTCACCCCTTCTTTCCTTCAAATTATTCACTCTTTCTTTCCTTCAAATTATTCACCCCTTCTTTCCTTCAAATTGTTCACTCTTTCTTTCCTTCAAATTATTCTTTCTTTCCCTTCTTTCCTTTCCTTCATTGTTCACTTTCTTTCTTTCCTTCAAATTATTCACCTTTCCTTCAGATTCTTTCCTTTCAAATTATTCCTCTTTCTTTCCTTCAAATTATTCACTCATTCTTTCCCTTCAAATTATTCTTTTTCCTTCAAATTATTCCTCTTTTCTTTTTCCTTCAAATTATTCACTCATTCTTTCCTTCAGATTATTCAACTCTTTCCTTCAAAATTCCCTTTTTCCTTCAAATTGTTCACTCTTTCTTTCCTTCAAATTTTCCCTTCTTTCCTTCAAATTATTCACTTCCTTTTTCCTTTTGTTCACCTTCTTTCCTTCAAATTA